AAATGAAATCGACTCACAAAAGTGACGTACTGTTCCGTTTTCTGTTTGAGTCATCCGGCTTACTCGGACAGCTTAGAAGAGGAACTTTCCATTAACGTTTTTCATAACGTTTTGAAACTTTATGAGAATTTCCTGCCCACCTAACCTATCAGAGGACCCTAAACTTACTGCTGTTGAAAAAAAAAATCCCAAATTTATTTTCAATTTTGTTTTCATTTTCAAATTACGTCTAAATTCGGCCATACGGGCAAACGGCCTAAAGCGACGTTCTTTTTAAGAGGACAGGTTGTGCAGCAACCGGTTGTGGCAACCTGATGCCGGTTACCTAATACTCCCTCTAACCGGCTGTGTTTACCCTACAGGGCGGCCGGGTCCTGGCTCAATGTCTGCTGCTGGTTATGGCCGCCTACGCCCACGCCACGCCCACAAGTGAGTACCTGGGTTACTGTTCCACGCCCACAAGTGAGTACCTGGGTTACTGTTCCACGCCCACAAGTGAGTACCTGGGTTACTGTTCCACGCCCACAAGTAAGTACCTGGGTTACTGTTCCACGCCCACAAGTGAGTACCTGGGTTACTGTTCCACGCCCACAAGTGAGTACCTGGGTTACTGTTCCACGCCCACAAGTGAGTACCTGGGTTACTGTTCCACGCCCACAAGTGAGTACCTGGGTTACTGTTCCACGCCCACAAGTGAGTACCTGGGTTACTGTTCCACGCCCACAAGTGAGTACCTGGGTTACTGTTCCACGCCCACAAGTGAGTACCTGGGTTACTGTTCCACGCCCACAAGTGAGTACCTGGGGTATTGTTCCACGCCCACAAGTGAGTACCTGGGTTACTGTTCCACGCCCACAAGTGAGTACCTGGGTTACTGTTCCACGCCCACAAGTGAGTACCTGGGTTACTGTTCCACGCCCAGAAGTGAGTACCTGGGTTACTGTTCCACGCCCACAAGTGAGTACCTGGGTTACTGTTCCACGCCCACAAGTGAGTACCTGGGTTACTGTTCCACGCCCACAAGTGAGTACCTGGGTTACTGTTCCACGCCCACAAGTGAGTACCTGGGGTACTGTTCCACGCCCACAAGTGAGTACCTGGGTTACTGTTCCACGCCCACAAGTGAGTACCTGGGTTACTGTTCCACGCCCACAAGTGAGTACCTGGGGTATTGTTCCACGCCCACAAGTGAGTACCTGGGTTACTGTTCCACGCCCACAAGTGAGTACCTGGGTTACTGTTCCACGCCCACAAGTGAGTACCTGGGTTACTGTTCCACGCCCACAAGTGAGTACCTGGGTTACTGTTCCACGCCCACAAGTGAGTACCTGGGGTATTGTTCCACGCCCACAAGTGAGTACCTGGGTTACTGTTCCACGCCCACAAGTGAGTACCTGGGGTATTGTTCCACGCCCACAAGTGAGTACCTGGGTTACTGTTCCACGCCCACAAGTGAGTACCTGGGTTACTGTTCCACGCCCACAAGTGAGTACCTGGGTTACTGTTCCACGCCCACAAGTGAGTACCTGGGTTACTGTTCCACGCCCACAAGTGAGTACCTGGGTTACTGTTCCACGCCCACAAGTGAGTACCTGGGTTACTGTTCCACGCCCACACGTGAGTACCTGGGTTACTGTTCCACGCCCACACGTGAGTACCTGGGTTACTGTTCCACGCCCACAAGTGAGTACCTGGGGTACTGTTCCACGCCCACAAGTGAGTACCTGGGTTACTGTTCCACGCCCACAAGTGAGTACCTGGGTTACTGTTCCACGCCCACAAGTGAGTACCTGGGGTATTGTTCCACGCCCACAAGTGAGTACCTGGGTTACTGTTCCACGCCCACAAGTGAGTACCTGGGTTACTGTTCCACGCCCACAAGTGAGTACCTGGGTTACTGTTCCACGCCCACAAGTGAGTACCTGGGTTACTGTTCCACGCCCACAAGTGAGTACCTGGGTATTGTTCCACGCCCACAAGTGAGTACCTGGGTTACTGTTCCACGCCCACAAGTGAGTACCTGGGGTATTGTTCCACGCCCACAAGTGAGTACCTGGGTTACTGTTCCACGCCCACAAGTGAGTACCTGGGTTACTGTTCCACGCCCACAAGTGAGTACCTGGGGTATTGTTCCACGCCCACAAGTGAGTACCTGGGTTACTGTTCCACGCCCACAAGTGAGTACCTGGGTTACTGTTCCACGCCCACAAGTGAGTACCTGGGTTACTGTTCCACGCCCACAAGTGAGTACCTCCCTCACCTAGTGTTCACCTAGTGTTCACCCAGTGTTCACCTAGTGTTCACCTAGTGTTCACCCAGTGTTCACCTAGTGTTCACCTACTCCCTCACCTAGTGTTCACCCAGTGTTCACCTAGTGTTCACCTAGTGTTCACCCAGTGTTCACCTAGTGTTCCCCTAGTGTTCACCTAGTGTGTTCACATCTAGTGTTCACCTAGTGTTCACCTAGTGTGTTCACATCTAGTGTTCACCTAGTGTTCACCTAGTGTTCACCTACTCCCTCACCTAGTGTTCACTCAGTGTTCACCTAGTGTTCACTCAGTGTTCACCTAGTGTTCACCTAGTGTGTTCACATCTAGTGTTCACCTAGTGTTCACCTAGTGTGTTCACATCTAGTGTTCACCTAGTGTTCACCTAGTGTGTTCACTCAGTGTTCACCTAGTGTTCACCTACTGTGTTCACCTAGTGTTCCCCTAGTGTTCACCCAGTGTTCACCCAGTGTTCACCTAGTGTTCACCTACTCCCTACCTAGTGTTCACATCTAGTGTTCACCTAGTGTTCACCTAGTGTGTTCACATCTAGTCCCTCACCTAGTGTTCACCTAGTGTTCACTCAGTGTTCACCTAGTGTTCACCTAGTGTTCACCTAGTGTTCACCTACTCCCTCACCTAGTGTTCACCCAGTGTTCACTCAGTGTTCACCTAGTGTTCACCTACTCCCTCACCTAGTGTTCACCTACTCCCTCACCTAGTGTTCACCTAGTGTTCACCCAGTGTTCACCTAGTGTTCACCTACTCCCTCACCTAGTGTTCACCTACTCCCTCACCTAGTGTTCACCTAGTGTTCACCTAGTGTTCACCTAGTGTTCACCTACTCCCTCACCTAGTGTTCACCTAGTGTTCACTTAGTGTTCACCCAGTGTTCACCTAGTGTTCACATCTAGTGTTCACCCAGTGTTCACCTAGTGTTCACCTAGTGTTCACCTAGTGTTCACCCAGTGTTCACATCTAGTGTTCACCCAGTGTTCACCTAGTGTTCACCTAGTGTTCACCTCAGTGTTCACCTAGTGTTCACCCAGTGTTCACCTAGTGTTCACCCAGTGTTCACCTAGTGTTCACCTAGTGTTCACCTAGTGTTCACCCAGTGTTCACCCAGTGTTCACCTAGTGTTCACCTAGTGTTCACCCAGTGTTCACCCAGTGTTCACCCAGTGTTCACCTAGTGTTCACCTAGTGTTCACCCAGTGTCCCCCTAGTGTTCACCTAGTGTTCACCCAGTGTTCACCTAGTGTTCCCCTAGTGTTCACCTAGTGTTCACCCAGTGTTCACCTAGTGTTCACCTAGTGTTCACCCAGTGTTCACTCAGTGTTCACCCAGTGTTCACCTAGTGTTCACCCAGTGTTCACCTAGTGTTCACCTAGTGTTCACCTAGTGTTCACCCAGTGTTCACCCAGTGTTCACCTAGTGTTCACCCAGTGTGTTCACAGTGTCCCCCTAGTGTTCACCTAGTGTTCACCCAGTGTGTCACATCTAGTGTTCACCTAGTGTTCACCTAGTGTGTTCACATCTAGTGTTCACCTAGTGTTCACCTAGTGTGTTCACATCTAGTGTTCACCTAGTGTTCACCTAGTGTGTTCACATCTAGTGTTCACCTAGTGTTCACCTAGTGTGTTCACATCTAGTGTTCACCTAGTGTTCACCTAGTGTGTTCACATCACCTAGTGTTCACCTAGTGTTCACCTAGTGTGTTCACAGTGTCCCCCTAGTGTTCACCTAGTGTTCACCTAGTGTTCACCCAGTGTTCACTCAGTGTTCACCCAGTGTTCACCTAGTGTTCACCCAGTGTTCACCTAGTGTTCACCTAGTGTTCACCCAGTGTTCACCCAGTGTCCCCCTAGTGTTCACCTAGTGTTCACCTAGTGTGTTCACATCCCCCTAGTGTTCACCTAGTGTTCACCTAGTGTGTTCACATCTAGTGTTCACCTAGTGTTCACCTAGTGTGTTCACATCTAGTGTTCACCTAGTGTTCACCAGTGTCCCCCTAGTGTTCACATCTAGTGTTCACCTAGTGTTCACCTAGTGTGTTCACATCTAGTGTTCACCTAGTGTTCACCTAGTGTGTTCACAGTGTTCTAGTGTTCACCTAGTGTTCACCTAGTGTCCCCCTAGTTCACATCTAGTGTTCACCTAGTGTTCACCTAGTGTGTTCACATCTAGTGTTCACCTAGTGTTCACCTAGTGTCCCCCTAGTTCACATCTAGTGTTCACCTAGTGTTCACCTAGTGTGTTCACATCTAGTGTTCACCTAGTGTTCACCTAGTGTGTTCACCCATGTTCACCTAGTGTTCACCTAGTGTTCACCTAGTGTCCCCCTAGTGTTCACCTAGTGTTCACCTAGTGTTCACCTAGTGTCCCCCTAGTGTTCACCTAGTGTTCACCCAGTGTGTTCACATCTAGTGTTCACCTAGTGTTCACATCTAGTGTTCACCCAGTGTGTTCACCCAGTGTTCACCCAGTGTTCACCCAGTGTTCACCTAGTGTTCACCCAGTGTTCACCTAGTGTTCACCCAGTGTTCACTCAGTGTTCACCCAGTGTTCACCTAGTGTTCACTCAGTGTTCACCCAGTGTTCACCTAGTGTTCACTCAGTGTTCACCCAGTGTTCACCCAGTGTTCACCTAGTGTTCACCTAGTGTTCACCCAGTGTTCACTCAGTGTCCCCCTAGTGTTCACTCAGTGTCCCCCTAGTGTTCACTCAGTGTCCCCCTAGTGTTCACTCAGTGTTCACCCAGTGTTCACCCAGTGTTCACCTAGTGTTCACCTAGTGTTCACCCAGTGTCCCCCTAGTGTTCACCTAGTGTTCACTCAGTGTCCCCCTAGTGTTCACCCAGTGTTCACCCAGTGTTCACCTAGTGTTCACCTAGTGTTCACTCAGTGTCCCCCTAGTGTTCACTCAGTGTTCACCCAGTGTTCACATCTAGTGTTCACCTAGTGTTCACCTAGTGTGTTCCCAGTGTTCACTCAGTGTTCCCCTAGTGTTCACCCAGTGTTCACCCAGTGTTCACCTAGTGTTCACCTAGTGTTCACTCAGTGTCCCCCTAGTGTTCACTCAGTGTTCACCCAGTGTTCACCTAGTGTTCACCTAGTGTTCACCTAGTGTCCCCCCAGTGTTCACTCAGTGTCCCCCTAGTGTTCACCCAGTGTTCACCCAGTGTTCACCTAGTGTTCACCTAGTGTTCACCCAGTGTTCACCTAGTGTTCACCCAGTGTTCACATCCAGTGTTCACCTAGTGTTCACCTAGTGTTCACCTAGTGTCCCCCCAGTGTTCACTCAGTGTCCCCCTAGTGTTCACCTAGTGTTCACCCAGTGTTCACCTAGTGTTCACCTAGTGTTCACCCAGTGTTCACCTAGTGTTCACCCAGTGTTCACCTAGTGTTCACATCCAGTGCCCCCTAGTGTTCACATCCAGTGTCCCCCTAGTGTTCACCTAGTGTTCAGAGCTCCAGGTAGCACAAACTATATATATATATCCGTTTACAACGTAACTAATTATCTCAGGCTTAAAGTGTCATCATGTCAAGGGTAATTAGTTTAATCACCTCATTTCCCAGAGTAATTATATTAAGATAATTACTTTTGTATAAGCCTCTAAATATAATTATATTGCTGAGCCAGATGGCATCATGAGTATGAATACCATGTGTATGTATACGCTATGAATTTTTTATTGATGAGAATGTATGAATTTGTTGTGGGTATGTTTGAAGGGTTTGTTGTTTAATTTGATGAAGTATACTTGTGTTGTAATATGTATACTGTGTTGCATTTATTATATGTATACTATGTTGCATGTATAATATGTAATGCATTATTTCATGTATATTTTTCATACAAAATGCATATTAAATTTTCATTCATCTTTCACGTGATGAATATCTCACAATATGTATACCTCTTTAAATATGTATACTTCCCACAAGATGTATATCTCACAATACGTGTTTGTCAGGCATCATGTGCACTTCTCAGTATGTATACCTCTCGCAACATATATACATCCTCTCATGATGTATAGCTCCCCACAATATGTATACATGTCACAAGATGCACATTCTCTCACAATATGTATACATGTGTGAGTCTTAGAGTCCCAGAGACTTAAGAGTCCCAGAGACTTAGAGTCCCAGAGTCTTAGAGTCCCAGAGACTTAAGAGTCCCAGAGACTTAGAGTCCCAGAGACTTAGAGTCCCAGAGACTTAGAGTCCCAGAGACTTAGAGTCCCAGAGACTTAGAGTCCCAGAGACTTAGAGTCCCAGAGACTTAGAGTCCCAGAGACTTAAGAGTCCCAGAGTCTTAGAGTCCCAGAGACTTAAGAGTCCCAGAGTCTCTAGACACTGGTACTAGTAGGCTTCGTTCTCGACTTACGATCGGAGATCCAATGTTCGATTCCCTGGCGGGGCGGAAATGGTTGGGCACGTTTCTTTCACCCATCACCTCTGTTCACCTGACACCAAATAGGTACCTGGGAGTTAGGGAACTTTTTTTTTTTTTTTGGGGGGGGAGGGGGATTTTCTGGGTCAATATCCTCTGGTGGTGGAGGCTCTGGGTCAATATTCCCTGGTGGTGGAGGCACTGGGTCAATATTCCCTGGTGGTGGAGGCTCTGGGTCAATATTCCCTGGTGGTGGAGGCTCTGGGTCAATATTCCCTGGTGGTGGAGGCTCTAGGTCAATATTCCCTGGTG